CAGAAGGTTTGATTTATTATTTTATGATATATATTACATTATGACTATACTAAAAAGAATAGAAGGAAAAGTTCTCAGAAGCTAGCTAAGCTAAGAATAGAAAAGAATGAAAACAAAGGTCTGTGTCCCAGCAGAGAGTGAGACCCAGCTCTGCCGTGCGTGGTCAGTAAATCCAAACATCAACCCGAGACCAATCACAGATCCACCTGTTGCATTCCACAGCAGCAGATAACCATTGTTTACATTTTGTTGCTGAGGCCACAGCTTCTCAGAAGGGGGAAAAATCCTAAAGAAAGGATTTTTATGAAAAGATGTCTGTGACACTGGTGTAAAGTGTAGCTTGCTCAGGAAACAACAGAGTGAGTGTTTTGTACAGCATGTGCTACTCCTTCACTGACTACTCTAAAGAGGTGCACGATAGACTCGGAGAGAGTCCAAAGACACATGTACTGGCAGAGGAGAGAGATTCCTTCCATTCTTAGCAGTGTGAGGGGCAACCTGGGAAGTTACTAGAGTATGTATGGTCCTTCTGATCCACACTGAGGAGTGTTAGAGGGAAACATCTCTGGAGAGGTAGCAAAGTTTTGGTGTCAAGCTCTGCTTCATTGATTACATTTGCTACTGACGTCAAAAAGGGAGTTTAGAACTTTTAAATCAAAATTCCTCTAGGACATGGCTCAAAAAAATCAAACAGGAGCACTTCACAGGTTAAAGAAAAGGATGTTACAGTAAAGAAGAAAAAGCAGAAAGGGGAAAATGGGGAACATTTGGAGAACATCTAGCTAATCTTAACACCTTGAATTTTAATTGGTGTATGATTTATTGCATTCTATGCTATTTAATTCTCAGAACAAAGCTGGGACATTATAAAAAATATCATTACTCCTTACAAATACTCCATGGACACAGAAACCAACCAAACTATATTCATGAGTGATACGTAAAAGATTTTGTGGACAGCAAATTGATTGTATGCTTGAAATATAAGGGGAAAGGGATGAAAGAATGTAATGCTTAACAGCATTTTTCAACATATTATTTCTTACACAGTTATGGGCTATAATTCTGCCAAGTTCATAAATATATGCTTAGATTACAGGCCCAGTGTAGCTTTGACTAGAGTGGTATGTTAAGGTTTATCTGCAGGACTAGGTGCTGCAGTTTATTCCAGAAGTAAGGAATCTTATGCAATTGAAATTAAACCAAAGTAAGAAAATAAACAAAATAAATATTTCTTAGTGAGTCTAAGATCAGAACTCAGACCACCACACGACCAGATAGACACTTCATTATAGACACTTCATGCTTCATTCTTGTATAGTTTTGTAGAATCCATAAGGGGATTTTTTTGCAGACTGATAAAAGAAAAGTGAAGCTTGAAGCAAGGTTGGCATCACATGATACTGATCATACTTGTCCTAAAGCTGCTAGCTGCCTCATGACTCCTGTTTCAGATGAAAAACAAAATAAGATAAACCAAACAAGAAACCCAATACAGATGAGACCAACAAAACAAACACCTAGACACTCTCTTTGAAAACATCAATGTCACAATAACTTGAGGTTCAGAGATTCATTTTTCAAAGCTGATACCACATGAACAGAGAAACAGATGATGTGATGTAATCTGGTTAATATTTGTTAAAGCAATGAGACTCATGACATTGTTTGAAAGAAGTATGAAAGATCTGACAACTGTGAGAAGGTGGGACTTTGAAAATATGCAAATTATCTGTCATGAAATATTAAATTTGGTTATCATCTTTTGAAAACCTCTGCATCAGTCAAGAAAAATCTAGAGAATGTGAATTTTTGATTCTACAAAAAAGCTAATATTCTAATGTTTTGCTTTAATTAAAACATTAAGCTGGGCAGATATCCCCCACTCATACATCAGTATGTCAAGATGTTTAATGTAAGATTTCTTTTTGGCAGTTGTTTGTCACAAATTATAATGGTTAACAGCTCTTGCACTTTACTGCAGCAAAATAGGGGCAGGCATACATGAGTGTCAGTATTTTTCCAGTTACAAAAACACTGTTCAGTGAGAGGAAATTCCATAGGACATAGTTGCAAATTTGCATTTAAATGAATGCCTTCTATTTCTGCATTCTAAATAAAATGAACCATCTGCAGCTAGACAATATATCTAAAGTTAGCATGATCCAAAGAGGTCCAAGGTACAGTATAACAGTTCTCTTTGATTAAAACAAGCAGCAGACTAGGTTTGGTCAATAGTTAATATCTTTGATAGAAATGCAAAAGCTGTTTGTCTATTTCTCCTTTTGGAATGGGAGAAAAATTTGAGTCTTGAGGAACTGCTGGAAGAAAAGTCCACGATTTTTATGAATATTCATTATTTGCAGATGTTCCACTAGCATCTAATAAGATTAAAATTTTATAAGTACTCATTGTTTGGGCTAAGGGAGAGTTAATTTTCTTCATAATAGGTTATGGTGCCATGCTTTTGATTTGTGACCAAAACAGTGTCAATAATACACCAAAGTTTTCAATACTGCTGAGCAGCAATTGCATGATATTGAAGATTTTTTTTGTTTCTCATACGGCCCTGCGCATGAGTAGGTTGAAAGTGTGGAAGAAGTTGGGATAGGACAGAGCCGGGACAGCTGACCCCAATGACCAAAGGGATGTCCATACCATATGGCATCCTGCTGAGCAGTCAGAGCTGGGGAAAGAAGGAGAAAGAGGAAAGATCAGAGTGTTGCCATTTGTCTTCCCATTATGCGTGATGGAGCACTGCTTGCCTGGAGACGGCAAAATATTTGCCTGTTGATGGGAAGTAATGAATGAACTCCTTATTTTCGCTGTGCATACAGCCTTTGCTTTACCTATTAAACCATCTTTATGTCAGCCCATGAGTTTTCACACTTCTACCCTTCCGTTCATCTTCCCCATCCCACTGCAGGGGAGTGAGCGTGTGGCTGGGTGGTGCTTAGCTGCCTACCCGGGTTACACCACAACAGTACATTTTTAGTTGTCTGTTCCCCCTCAACACCAATATTTCTTTCATAACTGTTCCCAATCCTGCATTATGTTCTTGCACCAAATATTCTTGGTATGCCACATATGCTTGGATAAGGACACTCATAAATACTAATTAATTAATCAGCTAGCTGTGCTATTGAAATTTTATCATGAAAACAAGAATCCTTCCAAATCTTCCTTCCAAGTTTATTGTACTAAACACTGTGGTTTCACAACTCCTTCTACAACTCTGTCTCCTATGACAAGTGGGTCTAGCAGGTTAACTCCTCATAAAGGAATATTCAGCCTGTGGTCCTCAACTTCCCATTGTTTTTATTGCATACCTCTAGATACTGTATATGTGCTATTTTGGGGTGACTAAATATTTCCTGAGAAATGTACACCACCATATTCCAAAGACACACTGTTGTCTCCAAGATGATCTTATAGATCACTCCTGATTTTATGTCCCTTTGAGAGGGCGGAAATACAAATTTCACTTGAAATACTCTATGATCCTACATCTCCTATCGTACCCATTCCAAACCCTTACATCACATATTTTTACACCTCCTAAACAGAAATCCAAACCCATGTTCCTGTCACTGCCACTCAACTCACACAAAAGATGAATTAACCTTATTCACCCTCACCTCGCACTGCTGTTTCCTCACCTTTCTATCCTGTGCTTCCCTGCTTCCATGTCTAGAATACTGTTGTGTTTTAATTCCAGCCACTCAGTAAGTATCACACAGCCACCTGCTCCCCCCTATCCCCTCAGCAGGATGGGATGGAGAAGTAGAAAAAGGTAAAATTCACAGGTTAAGAATGCTTTAATTATTGAAATAAAGTAAAAGATGATGATGATGATGATAGTGAAAAACAATTTAAAAAGGGAAAAAAGAAAACAAGTGATGCACAATACAGTCACTCACCACCCACTGACCAATGCCCAGCCCATCCCTGAGCAGCAATTGGTGGCTCACAGCCAACTCATCTCCATTTAGATATTGAGAATAACATTGCATCCTATGGAATGTGTCTTTGGCTACTTCAGGTCAGCTGTCCTGGCCATGCTCCCTCCCAGCTTCTTCTGCACCTGGTTGCTGGCAGAGCAAGAGAAATTGAAAAGGTATTGATTTAGAGTAAGCACTACTTAGCAGCAACTGAAACATCAGTGTGTTATCAATATTATTTCACACTAAATCCAAGACACAGCACTGTGCCTGCCAGCTACTAAGAAGAAAAGTAGTTCTATCCCAGCTAAAACTTGTACTACATCACTTGTTCCATATAATGTATGTCATGCCGCCCTTCCAATACCCCACCTATCATCTTTCCTGTTTTTGGGTATGTGCACACAGATATATTCTCTTAGAGAATGGACAATTTATTGAGTTCATTTGGTCCATGAAATTGGGCTCCATCTGTCATAACAATCTTTCACGGCAGCAAAGATGGTGTGTGAATTGTTGCATGTTGAAGTCAGTTCTGATTCCATCACTGCTGTGTTTGTCCAGTTTCATCAAAATTCAGTTTTCATTAATGTGACAATCAAAACGAAGTGAGGCTCAAATCTCAGTGTGATGAGCATACAGCCACTGCCCAAGTGATAATATACAGTGTTACCTAGCAATTAACATCGTGCAATTTAATTGATTTGCTATTCTTACCCAAAAACAAATTCCCCGGAGGCACGCACCAGACCTCCCCATCCTCCCTCTTTATCCACCAAGGGCACTCAGGCTCCTGAGCAAAAGCAATCCTATGCATGGATCAGCCTTTGCCTGAGCAGGAATAACTCAGACTGTTTTCCCTGGAGTATTTTTTATGTCCATTATAGCAACTTTATCCCATTCTACAGTCATAAAAGTTTGGGGAGGGCTAGATCAGTGGGCAGATTGCCTAGTGTTGACTAACCAGGTTGCCTTTGTAACCCAAAGTTTGAGGGTCCCCCCCATCCATTGGTTTCAGTGTAGTCTTTAAGAGTCCATTGCATTGTTCAATTTTTCCAGAGGCTGGTGCATGAGAGGGGATGCGATACACCACTCAATACCCTTTTCTTTGGACCAGAGGTCTGTAAGGTTCTGTTGGATGTGAGTCCATTGTCTGGAGTTCTTTCTGGAGTACCATGTTACAGGCATTTGCTTAGCCCTAAGCAAGATCTGAACCGAATTCAACTGCGGGCTGGATCGTAGCAGAAGGAGCAGGTTTGTTTTGAGGTAATTCAAAGGATATTCAATACCTTTAGAAATCCCACATGCTACAGTAAACAGCCTGGAGGGAGGGAGGAAGTTTGTCCCCTATATTGTCTCTGCAAGGAGAAAAGGTGGAGAGTGTAGTTATTAATAGTTCCCAATAGATGGCTCCCGAAACACAGAGGTGACAGCAGTGCTGAGCACACAGATCACACGTACCAGATTAGTTTCACAACCAGTGATTCCATCTAATCATAAGCCAGTATTGCATAGAACAACTAAATGACAGCCTTGGCCCAGACCTTGAGAAGGATAGACAGCACAGCAGGGAACACACACATCAAGTGAAGTATTATATGAACACGCGTGCAGAAACTCTGAGAGCAAATAAATCAGCAGTGTGGCCTGTGACTATAGAGCTAATAAAATGAATGCTTAAAACAATTCTGTTTTAATGTGCTGTGGTCAGATCTGTTGTTTCCTCAACTCTTTTTGCCCCACACTGGGCACCAAGAAGGACTGTCGTGGTTTAACCCCTGCTGGCAACCAAGCACTACACAGCCACATGCTCATGCTTCTCCCACCCACAATGGAATAAAGAAGCAAATTGGAAAAACGTAAAACTCGTGGGTTGAGAAAAGAGCAGTTTAACAATAACAGTCACGGTAAAAATAATTTTTAAAGGAAAAGGAGAAAGCAAATTAAAACCCAAAAAAACCAAGTGATGCACAATACTCACCACCCACTGACTCCCCAGCCTACACCTGTGCAGCATTTGGTGGCTTCTGGCAAAACTCTCCCCAGTGTATGTACTGGGCATGATGTTCTCTAGTACAGAATATCCCTCGGGCCAGTTTGTGTCAGCTGTCCTGGCCATGCTCCCTCCCAATTTCTTGTGCATCTGCTCACTGACAGAGCATGGGAAACTGAAAAGTCCTTGACTTAGAGTAAGCTCTTCTTAGCAACAATGGAAACATCAGTGTGTTATCAACTTTATTTTCATACTAATTCAAAACACAGCATTGTGCCACCTACTAAGAAAATAACTCCATCCCAGCTGAAATCAGGAAAAATATCCTCCTCTGCCTGAACATCACCACTCTGTTCTTGCCCAGATGTTCAACACCATCTGAGTTCCTGCAGAGGCTTTAAGGGATTTAGAGATATCAGCTCACATTGTGAAAGATTAGCAATGAGCAGTGACACCTTGTCTCTGAGCAAGGCAGCCTCTCCACTACAACAGCTGATAAAAGACAAGGTGATGTGGGACATGTATGGAGGTTTTTGGTGGCCTTTTCCAGGAAAAATACGCTAGAAACAAACCAGAATTTACTGTACAATAAACAACTACATGTTGATTGCAATATTCTGCCATTTCCCCTTCCTTTCCACTGGCACTGTTATCCTGCACATGGGAGACATCAGTTAAATACAAATTCACTACATGTCTTTGAAATTTCACACCAAAAAATAAACTAAAACCAACCCAATCCAAACCTTTACAAGAATTTTCTGGAAAATAAATACTGGGAAAATTTAAATATCTTTCCTAACTAAGCCACTGACTAATATTTTACGATTTTTAAAAAATTCCTGATTTGATATTTGGTGCAAGAAAGTTTTGGGCTGTTTATAGTGAAGGTAGGAGGTGTTAAAATTGGTTTCTGTGCTGAAACTCACCAACTACAGAACAAAGGATCTTTCAATTCCTAGTAAGAGTTGCACTGTCAAAAAACTAGAGAAAATTCACCCAGGTATCCCTGCATGTATTGGCAAAGTTAGGAGTAAGGAAATTGATTGGGGTTCGTGTGAAAGCCTGAAAACAGACTAGAAGTTATGACAAGAGCTTTATGTTGAATTTTGTGAAGGGAAAGCTAAAACTCCATTGACAGTTTATGCAAATTAGACCATGAAAATCAGTTAATGTTGCAGTTAATGGAAAACAGGTGAAGTCAGCCAAGTGTAGAGAAATGAGGCAGACAAGCAGATTCCAAAGAGGAATGTAATATATCTTTGAGAGTTGTATGCTTAAAAAAAATAGATGCCCCAAAGTTAAATATGAACAGTTTTTACCTGTCAAATGTAGTGGGAAAGAGGAAGAATTGCATGCAGTGGTGCACTCTGGTTTTTAACTTCTGGTCTAAGGCCCACAGATTAGAGAAGGCAAGTGTAAAGAGTACTTTAAGAACACAGGGCTCTGAATCTCAATGGCAGTTTGTTGTTCTGCATGAGTTATGTGTTGTTTGAAAGACATAGTGCATCTTCAGTGGGCAAACAGAAACCAGAGAGCAAGCCAAACAAAGGGATAAAGAAAGAAGAAAGATACACACTTCACATGAGACTCAGGAGATGAAGAGTCTTGAGAAGCGATCAGGAAGAGAAGACAGTGCTGAAACCCTAAAAAAGTTGACAGTAAAATTTAAATTTCTAATGTAAGAACAACAAGATATGAGATATGATGTTTATATTGAAAGTTCAAGTGGGAATGTTGAATGTATTATTTTACAGAAAAGAATTTAAATGGACATTAGGTACTTAAAGTCAGATTGTACTCACTTACTTAACTAAAAACTGGGTAACTGGATAGAATATTGGAAGTTCTATTCCAAAAGTGATTACATAAAAATTGCACCTTCCTACTCAACAGATTTGATTGCTGTGTTTATTCAGAGTCAGATCTATTTACCTCAAAGACAAAAATATGCCTTTACAACTTTTATTCCTGTCCTGTCTCCTAGCAGAACCCACACAATTCAGCAAGGGGTCTAGATGCTATTCATTCTTGTGCAACAGCTAAATTACTTCACATCATTCCACCAAATATAAGAGCAATCAGAACAGATTCAGTGCAGATATCAGGGAAATAAGTTTTACATTCTGCATTGTGAAATAGACCACAGAAGATTTTATTGGTTCCTCCTAGTCTTAAAAATCGGACAAATTTGACTAAACATTATTTTAAAATACTGACTTCCCTAAAAGTCATGGGTTTTTCCACTGACTTCAGTCAAACCTGGATCTATGAAGACATAAACTAATTCTCATTAATTTTCTGTCATTTATTGGTGTGAATGCAATTGGCCTCTAGGAAAAAAAAAAATCTTTGGTTGGTGCTGTTGCTGTTAAAGAGGCTTCATCCAGATTCTCAAATATTCGTCACTTTTTATAATATACAAAGGTACATACATTTATATACGTTTATATACATTTGTTATATAAAGATCCTTACAGAAAATACCTAGAATTGACATCACAGCAAGGTTCTTTAATTCAGATTGTACTCTCATATTTAACTGAAAACTGGATAAGATGTAAGTACTCCAATTACCTATGCAATGTGAACCATAGAGATTCCCCCCTTGATTCTTTCCATTATTCTCTCTTCTTCCCAAAGTGAAAAGTGAGGTTTTTCAATTCAACTTACACAAAGTTCTGGTAACGTGATATAAGCTGAAATTAAATGTGAACAAATTTTGGCTCTTACAAACAAAAACTTCTGCTTAAGTCAGAACAGGTGAAAAAGAGCAAATTGAGCAAATATCTGAAAATACTTCTCCCAAGAGCTATAAAAAACCAATAGAAAGCAAATCTAAAAGGCAAACAACCTGTTCTCCCTCAACTTTACAGTAGAATTGTACTTAAATGCAATCTATAGCCAAAAATATTGTAATTTAAATGGTAAAGAAAGTTTAAGAAAATTTCAGTGAGTTTCCAGAAATAGCGATCTTTAAAGCAAAGTGAAGAAAAAAACTGTATTAAAAAACTTTCATATAAAATGTGGCTGAATTTACCTTTACAGATATGTGGAAAGACCCTTGGTCACAGTCTCAGTGATGTAAACTGGAATAGCAATACTTGGAATCCAATCCATTACTATTTTTTTAAATATCCTATATAGCATGCTATGGTCTAGGACTGGTAAAGGTTTGGGCTATGTATAAAGAAGGCATATGCATGAAGGGACCATGATGACCATAACACATTCATTAAAAAAATGTCTTATGGCTAATAATTTCTAGGCTTTTTAAAAAAATAAATTATATCATTAATGAACTCAGAGAATATTTTAGTTAAAGAAGAATAGACACAAGTTCTACAGGATGGTGCCAATACACACCACAACTAAACAGCAAACTTTGCCAGCAATGTGTAGGGACACTAAATATTGTTGAATGGAAACTCTACAGAAGCAGATTAAAAATATATAACAAATATAAGGAATATAACAAATATAACAAATACCATTGTGGTACCATAATCAAAATGGAATCTGATAATTTTTGTAATATCCTAAGATGAATTTGGGGCAAAAAAAAAGGGTGATGATTTTAAACAGTTATTTTTAGTGTCAGCACCAAACATTTACTATTTTCATAGCACTCAACTTAGACAATAAAAAGAGGGCAGTGAGTCAGTCTTTACCTTCAGCCATTCAATGATGCAATAGTTCTGTTCAAAATGCCTACAGAAAAAGCCTGAAATTGAACAAAACATTGCTCTTTAGCTTGATTACATCTCTAAAAATATATACCTTTTTAGAAACACAAAATCAGACGAAGAAAAAGAAGAGAAAAAGAAAAAATAATAAAACCTAAAAATATTCCTATCCTAAAAATGCAATCTTTACCTTTTTAAAGGTTATTTTTAATTGACTACCTTAGCAACTGCTTTCATTTCATAGGGACTGAACTAGGAAACATCAGGGTTTATATGCACCGTGGAAGGTATGAAAGCAGGATGTCTTTAACATACAAAATTATTGTGGTTTAACCCCAGCCAGCAAGGAGGTACCACACAGCTGTTCTCTCACACCCCAGCTGCCCTGGCCCCACCTTCCTCTTGGGGGAGGAGGATCAAGAAAAAATGAGATCGGAAAAGTTTTATAACTGAAACACAATGAAATTTAAATATTCTACAAGCGATCCACAACACAGTCATTCACCACTGCCTGACGGATGGCCAGCCCATCCCTGGGCAGCAATCAACAGCTGCTGGCCAGCTCTCCCTAGTTTATTTGTTGAGCA